TCATCGTATCCCAGTTGCGTAGGTAGATGCTCGTAATTTCAAACCCTGACCGCCGTCATATATTGGACCGCTGGAATATTGCTGCGTGCGGCATTAAACAACAAACAAGTGTGGATCAGGCAATCCAGGTACTGACATCATGTCCTTTAGTTTTTTTACAACGCAACACGAAGTCGTGATGGAGCCTTATACAACGCCAACTGCGACGAATGTCACTAAGCCGGTTTCATTATGGCGCTATGATGTTAAAGGACTTTCTATCTCGCCCATCACAATGGCCGTCTTTGACGTCTACTACAACGACGGTTTAATGATGAAGATGTGAAATCCATCAACTTAGTCTTTGACGTCTACTACAACGACGGTTTAAACATGAAGATATGAACGTCCATCAACTTCGTCTTTGACGTCTACTACAACGACGGTTTCACTTTGAAGATATGAACGTCCATCAACTTCGTCTTTGACGTCTACTACAACGACGGTTTCACTGTTAAGATATGAACGTCCATCAACTTCGTCTTTGACGTCTACTACAACGACGGTTTCACTGTGAAGATGAGAACGTCCATCAACTTCGTCTTTGACGTCTACTACAACGACGGTTTCACTGTGAAGATATGAACGTCCATCAACTTCGTCTTTGACGTCTACTACAACGACGGTTTCACTGTGAAGATATGAACGTCCATCAACTTCGTCTTTGACGTCTACTACAACGACGGTTTAAACATGAAGATATGAACGTCCATTAACTTCGTCTTTGACGTCTACTACAACGACGGTTTCACTGTGAAGATGAGAACGTCCATCAACTTCGTCTTTTGACGTCTACTACAACGACTATTTCACTGTGAAGATGAGAACGTCCATCAACTTCGTAATTGTTTTGTTAATTTATCATTCGAATCTGACTCCACGACAAAGAACCGAAAGGGGTAATGTGGTCTGATTTCTGGTACCCAAGATCTTGTAGTTATTGTGTGCATGTATCCCAGTGAGTGTGATTTATGTAGTGCAACAACGCGAGCTTGTGAGGAGACGCGTGTCCATGTGTATCGGCAGGGTTACCTCCCTTACTTCACCACACGTTGACGCTGAAGCCTGTGTAAGGAGCCTGTAGAAACATTTAGTCCCGGAAATAAAGTTATCTTGGTTCAAAATACATATCTACTAACAAAAAAAAATCCAAATGGAGTCCAGAACAATGCTTAATTTCAAAGGCAATCTAGCCTTGCCAAATCATTCTAGACTTGAGATTCATTTTAAATCTATTTTCTGGGGTCTGGGACACAGGCTAAACGGATTCCCTATTGAGAAAAATATTTCTCAAATAATTCGTCCTGATGAAACATTATTTCATTCCCAGTTGTCATGTTATGAAAGAGGGACACGCATAGGAATCCATAGTGTGTTATGGATAAAGAAATTTGAGTAAATATTACTGAAACAAATGCTTAAATAACATATTTCCTTGAATTCCCTTCGCAAATTGTTAGCATATTAGCCTTAAGGTGTGTGTTCAAGTCTGATGTCATAGCCAGACATTAAACACGCACTTCCCTCACTTGTAGGAGCCTATCACATCGAGAACGATTCTACCAGTTGTCAATGACATGTTTATATGTAGTTTTACCTAATTTATGATTTGCGTAGAGCGCAGAGCACTACAATACACATCTACAGTTGGGACTATTCTACACCCACGTCAGTGAGGACAAGACACACTTCTACACACATGCTCAGTAGGGACCACATGTTCAGTGAGGCCGACACACTGTTCTACACACATGTTCAGTGAGGCCGACACACATGTTCAGTAAGGACTACATACTGTTCTACACACATGTTCAGTACGGGTTACACACTGTTCTACACACATGTTCAGTGAGGACTACACACTGTTCTACACACATGTTCAGTACGGGTTACACACTGTTCTACACACATGTTCAGTGAGGCCGACACACTGTTCTACACACATGTTCAGTGAGGCCGACACACTGTTCTACACACATGTTCAGTAAGGACTACACACTGTTCTACACACATGTTCAGTGAGGACTACACACTGTTCTACACACAGGTTCAGTAAGGACTACACACTGTTCTACACACATGTTCAGTGAGGACTACACACTGTTCTACACACATGTTCAGTACGGGTTACACACTGTTCTACACAAATGTTCAGTGAGGCCGACACACATGTTCAGTAAGGACTACACACTGTTCTACACACATGTTCAGTGAGGACTACACACTGTTCTACACACATGTACAGTACGGGCTACACACTGTTCTACACACATGTTCAGTGAGGACGACACACATGTACAGTACGGGCTACACACTGTTCTACACACATATTCAGTAAGGAGTACACACTGTTCTACACACATGTTCAGTGAGGACTACACACTGTTCTACACACATGTACAGTACGGGCTACACACTGTTCTACACACATGTTCAGTGAGGACGACACACATGTTCAGTAGGGACTACACACTGTTCTACACACATGTTCAGTACGGACTACACACTGTTCTACACACATGTACAGTACGGGCAACACACTGTTCTACACACATGTTCAGTGAGGCCGACACACATGTTCAGTAAGGACTACACACTGTTCTACACACATGTTCAGTGAGGACTACACACTGTTCTACACACATGTACAGTACGGGCTACACACTGTTCTACACACATGTTCAGTAAGGACTACACACTGTTCTACACACATGTACAGTACGGGCTACACACTGTTCTACACACATGTTCAGTGAGGACTAAACACTGTTCTACACACATGTTCAGTAGGGACTACACACTGTTCTACACACATGTTCAGTGAGGACTACACACTGTTCTACACACATGTACAGTACGGGCTACACACTGTTCTACACAAATGTTCAGTGAGGACTACACACATGTTCAGTGAGGACTACACACTGTTCTACACACATGTTCAGTGAGGACTACACACTGTTCTACACACATGTTCAGTGAGGACGACACACATGTTCAGTAGGGGCTACACACTGTTCTACACAAATGTTCAGTGAGGACTACACACTGTTCTACACACATGTTCAGTACGTGCTGCACACTGTTCTACACACATGTTCAGTGAGGATTACACACTGTTCTACACACATGTTCAGTAGGGACTACACACTGTTCTACACACATGTTCAGTGAGGATTACACACTGTTCTACACACATGTACAGTACGGGATAGACACTGTTCTACACAAATGTTCAGTGAGGACGACTTACATGTTCAGTAGGGACTACACACCGTTCTACTCAATTGTTCAGCAAGAATCTGTCTCTGAGATTTCACTTGATGAGGTTTGGACTATCATTCTTATGGGCAAAGTAACTGTTGATTAGCCGCGAGTTCACTGACCGGGGATTGGTTTATCATGCAATTACGGCTATTCTCTATCACAAACTGAAAATAATCTGCCTTTTCACGGATTGTTTGCGTCTTTGAAACGTCCTGTTGACGTGACGGTTGACATTTTAGTTTAAAATTGTCAAAACATCGACAAAACATGTATATCGCAGAAACGTGATGTCGAGTTACCATGCCGACGTCAATAGGGCGGGAGTAAAGCGTTAATAAGGAGTGACAATGTGCGATTTAGTTGTTTCACGATATCAGAATTCAATACCAAATATAAAACCAACTCTGTACATTACAGATACTATATTTCCAATATAACATTGGCTAGAAGAAACCAAATTCTAATCCCTTAGGCAGGTAAATGTTTGTGTATTTTGTGAGGGCGGTGGGGTAGTGTAATGGTTAAAGCGTCCGCTCGTCACGAAGGTCCGAGTTCGATTCCCCATGTGGGTAAAAAGTATTAAGTCCATTTGTGGCGTCCCCTATTCTGACATTGCTGGAATATTGCTTAAAAACGACATAAAACCACACTCACTCTAACTTGCGAAATTTTTATGTGAACTGCTGTTTTTATCTTCGGGCGACGCCATCCGTCAAATGAGCCATATGAGAAACAAGCTGATCTCTTCCAGAGGACATAATAGCATTTAAACCGAATCCGGACATTTGGCGTGATGAGCGAACACTTTGACCACCAGGCTACCCTTCTTTATTACAAGGCAAACTGGCATGGTTCGGGACGAACGTGAGGACAATACTTGATTACAATCATTTGAATGAGTGAGTTAGCGTTCGAGTGAGTTGATGATGATGATGATGATGATGATGATGATGATGATGATGATGATCGTCTCTGTATTAGAATACTGTTGCTAAAGCAGGCGTGATATCCCACGCACCCACTCACTTGAATAAGAAGGATAAGTTCACCATACACCAAATCGATACATCGTCCTTGTACTAGTTATAACTACCAATATCCGACACGAAACAGGAAACAGATTATATTACAGCGTGGCTTGTGTCACTTATGGTCATGAAAGCCCCCTCACCTCGTCAATATCCTGTTCAAGGCCCGGCAAAGCACAACAAAGAGGATGTACATTAAACGCTTTTATTATGTGTCAACCACAAAAACAGGATACGCTTTTCAGTTAAACTGAGTTGATTTTAAAAACGTTCTTACCGGATGTAATTTGATTGCGTAGGTTGTGGAGTTAGTTGAGTATCAAATCCTGCTATTTACATTTGTGTTAGATCACCGAGGGTATTTGGAGTGATAAAATAACGGCAAAGATTTCAAATGGACACTTGTGACTCGACTTATTTCGACTAGAATCCGTATCTGTAGTCCTGCACCATGACCGTGGAATATATTTATTTTATGAAAAAATAATAATCTAGAAATGCATACAAAAGCAAGTCTAGCCAGCTCAAGCTAGCTCTATTCCAGCATAGGGATTTTTTTTTATTTTTAAAGTCAAGAAGGATATTGTGTAATATAAGATTTCAGAGACTAAATGTTAGTCTACCGTATCTGTGGTATGTGGGTTAAGCTGTATGGCAAGGATACGGCTACGGGTAGAAATACGCGGGTACGGGTACGGGTATGGGACGCGTGCGGATGCGGATGCGTGTGCGGATGCGAGTGCGAGTGCGGTTTCGATTGCGGCTGCGGATGCGGTTGCGGGTGCGGGTGCGCGTGCGGTGCGCGTGCGGTGCGGATGCGAATGCGGCTGCGGTTGCGAGTGCGAGTACGGGTGCGGGTGCAGTGCGGGTGCGGTGCGGGTGCGAGTGCAGATGCGAGTGCGGGTGCGGGTGTAGGTGGCATTGATTGTAGGGGGTGGCTGTGGTTGTAGGGCGTGGCTGTGGTTGTAGGGTAGGCTGTGGTTGTAGGGCGTGGCTGTTGTTGTAGGGGGTGGCTGTGGTTGTAGGGCGTGGCTGTGGTTGTAGGGCATGGATGTGGTTGTAGGGGGAGACTGTGCTTGTAGGGCGTGACAGTGGTTGTAGGGGCGTGCTGTGGTTGTAGGGCGTGGCTGTTGTTGTAGGGCGTGCTGTTGTTGTAGGGCGTGACTGTGGTTGTAGGGCGTGGCTGTGGTTGTAGGGTGTGGCTGTGGTAATAGGGCGTGCTGTGGTTGTAGGGCGTGGCTGTGGTTGTAGGGCGTGGCTGTGGTTGTAGGGCGTGGCTGTGGTTATAGGGCGTGCTGTGGTTGTAGTGTAGGGCGTGGCTGTGATTGTAGGGCGTGACTGTGGTTGTAGAGCGTGACTGTGGTTGTAGGGCTCTGGGTTGAGCTTGGTGAACGACTGAGGTTGCGACAGGGAAGGTGTGGAAACGGGTAGATATAGAGTAAGGACGTGGGAGTCTTGAGGTGGAGTATTATTGTCGATAAGGGTTGGTATAAAGTGGTGGTGTTGGCCGTGGCCTACATCACAACCGACATCTCTCAAACAACTGAGAAAAAGACACGCGATCTCTCCCGGCCTCACCAATCACTATGATTGATTCCGGAAGTCATTTCCGGTTGCATGACTTTGCGTTTTGACAGGAACAAATACATCTGTGACAGTCGCTAGTCAGTTGCTGTCTGAACACACGGAACCTCTGACCTCACGGAAGGTCGCGAGGAGAGCGGAATGGTTTGACTCGGGCTAGGTTATCAAAGCAATTATTTTACACTTACGACCTCATATATCCGTAAGAGGGTTCAACAGATCTAGCGTTATTTCAAATTTTACTTTCCACACAACTAGAGGTTATAAGTGCAAGGAGTGCCGTCAGTGATATCGTGTCGTGGTTTATCTTGTGGTTGTAGACAGGATAAACAGATGAATAGGTGAACGATTCTTTTGATTTAACGCTGCTTTGAAAAGTATTTCCTTCGTGAGTTTCATGGTGTGTCAATTTAATATACGTTCACAATTGTGTTGATCAAAGGTGTGTTTCAGAAGTACCATTGGGTCTATATCGATACGAAACTGAGCAGATCTTTGCAGCAAAGGGATGTCACTCTGAACACGACTTTCGAAATCACTTGTCAATAAAAATGTGTTTTTTAGATACCACGTTGATAAATCACTACTTGAAATGAAGCAGTAGATTTTTACCTTAAATTGAACTTTTATCATTATTGCATTCTTATTTACATATATATCCTGGCTTATTGTGTTTTCGATCCCCTAAAATGTATTTCTGACAACGTGACTTGTAACAATCCCAATACACTAAAATTACGTCTCAACTTTTAGAACATATATTTCTGGTAACACTTTGATGGTCAAATGACCGCGTCTTGTTAACTTTATAGTGTTAATGGTTCGCGGATGCAGACAAATCGAGGGCACGGGTGGCCCAGTCGTCTAAGGCGCCGCAATTCGCGGTGCAGACTTGCGTCCCTTGGGCAGGCCAGAAACCTATGATTGTGGGTTCGAATCTTTGTTCCCCCCGATTATGTTTCTGTGCTCGTGGGTTTCACCGAAGTGGTAAACGTCTTATATCTGCATCACTTCGGGTTTTCCTCCCACATTAAGCTGACACGCCGCGATATAACTGGAATACTGTTAAAAGCGGAGTTAAACACAACTCACTCACTCACTCCAGACAAGTCGATCTGGCGCCATCTTGTTACCGTCATTACCCCATTACAGTCAAAAGTTAAAAATAGATGCAAAACATCAGTCACGTGACATGACAGGCAGGACGTTTACAAACAGCAGTCGATACATCATCGGTGCATACGATTGTGCTGATGCAAAATTATCATTAGATCAGGTTTGGTCAAGTTAAAATGTGCATTTACGTTTTGAGGTATGTTGTCATTACTTATTGAATATCTTACCTCGTGGAGCTTAGTTTGTAACATAACTGCAGCGGCAAGTGACGAACACTTTGAGGTTCAGTGGGTTGACGCTCCACCCTTGATTACGTCATTAAGCGCGTGGTTACATATTGTTTAGAGGCTCGCAACAAACACGTGGCGTGGGGTTACATGTACTATTTACATAATGACCCGGGGTAGAATAGGTCTTCAGCAACCCATACTTGCCGTAAAAGGCGACTGTGCTCGTCGTAAGAGGCGACTAACGGGATCGGGTGGTCAGGCTCGTTGACTTGGTTGATGCATCGTATCCCAGTTGCGTGGATCGATGCTCGTGATGTCAATCACTGGATTGTCTGGTCGAGACTCGATTTTTTACAGACCGCCGTCATATAGCTGGAATACTGCTGAGTGCGGCGTTAAACAACAAACAAACAAAATCATTGTAAAATATTCAGTGGTGTTTGCATCGGATTCCCTTGGTCAAATCCACCCTTAAATTAGATTCTAGTATTTGCTAGTATTTCTAGAGAGATCACAGATTGGATTCTGAACCCATTTTCAGTTTGTAAACGGTAATAAGATGCGTCTTGTGTAAGAAATACAGCCAAACAACTTCAATGGCAGAGAGATCACAGTTTTCATTCTGATGCCATGGTAACCGATGTCGTAACAATGTATATCTCCTTGGAGATGTCGTTGACCTCACCCAAGCAATATCTCCCGTGGAAGCCGGATTTGGAAGATGATTTTCATAAGTATACTGTAAGGGTGTTGCGACAATCGGACAACATGATTATCAAGATGCAGCAATTCACACACTCCTACTGGCACGATAAAATACATAAGTGTGAGACTAATTGCAAGAAATAAGCCGATTTAATATTACACCAAGAGATTTCTGTTGAAAACGTATTACTATGAGGGTAACGTTGATTTAGCATGTGTTAGTATTGTCATTGTATGTATCCCATCGTGACACCATGTGGGGAAGCGACTGGGTGTTAATGGCGTCACGAGCTTTACCCACTGGGCGTATACATCACCCCTGGTTTGTTTGTTTGCTTGTTTGTGTGTTTTTTCCAGCCATATGACAGCAGTCTGTAAATAATCGAGTCAGGATTAGAAACCTAGCAACTGATATCTTAGAAACGATCCACACCGCCGGATAACGTTGACATGCATCGTCCAAGTCGTTGACCACCCGATCCACCACGTCGCCTGCCTCTCTTGTGACGAGTTTAGGTTGCTGGGGACCGATTCTAACCTGAAGGTTTAAGGATTTTATGTGTGGGGGTAAAGGAAGCTGGGGACTGATTCTAACCTAAAGGTTTTAGGATTTTAGGTGTGGGGGTAAAGGATGCTGGGGACTGATTCTAACCTAAAGGTTTTAGGATTTTAGGTGTGGGGGTAAAGGATGCTGGGGACCGATTCTAACCTGAAGGTTTTAGGATTTTAGGGGTGGGGGTAAAGGAAGCTGGGGACCGATTCTAACCTGAAGGTTTTAGGGGTAAAGGTTATGTCTTGTACAACAGTTTACTCTCTGCTAAGAATTAAATATGTGTAATAGCTATGTAGAACTTGAGAGCCTGACCCCTGGCCGCCTTACACGCCCAACATGGGATGGGGACCCGGCCCTGGTACTATTTAGAGGCCCTTATTATTGATGATCAGTTAATTATGTGTACATTGTATGATATCAATATTATTGAGATGGGGATATAACCAGTGTATTATGTGTACAATGTATGATATTATTAGTATTGAGGTCAGTGCAATACCAGTAAATTATTTATACAATGTATGATAATAATAGTATTGAGATGGGAGTAAAACCAGTTAATTATGTATACAATGTATGATATTAATGACACTGAGGTCAGTGTAAAACCAGTTAATTATGTATATAATGTATGATAGTAATAGTATTGGGGTGAGTGTAAAACCACTTAATTATGTATACATTGTATGATGTTACATACATTAATGACACTGAGTGTAAAACCTGTAAATTATGTATACGATGTATGATATTAATGACACTGAGGTCAGTGTAAAACTTGTTAATTATGTATACAATGTATGATATTAATGACACTGAATGTAAAACCTGTTAATTATGTATACAATATATGATATTAATGACACTGAGTGTAAAACCTGTAAATTATGTATACAATGTATGATATTAATGACACTGAGTACAATGTATGATATTAATGACACTGAATGTAAACCTTGTTAATTATGTATACAATGTATGATATTAATGACACTGAGTGTAAAACCTGTTAACTTATTTAATTATGGCCACCATGGTCATGCCAGGCATCTTCCATTATTGTGACTTTTTAAAAGTCATTCAACGTTTCTATTTCACCATGTCACACAAAACATCAAAACGGATTCACATCGTATATAAAACATGACATTATAACCATAAATTAGTCTCGGGTAATTAAAACATCGATTGCGTAGAACTGTTAGGCGTGTTTATACCGAGGATGCAGTTTGAGGAAGTTGTCGTTTTATTGCTGGGAACATTGTTAATGGCAGCCGTACTATATTTTACATTTATTGAAACATCTGGCACACCCAGTAATCATTACACATTATAATTACATTATGTTCTGATGTGAGCTGCCTCTGTGGTCTAGTGGATAATCTGCCCGGTCGGCGGAAAGTCGGTGGTTCGATCCCCGGCCGCATCATACCGAAATACGTTAAATGACTTCTCGTTTCCCTACCTGGCGCTCTCTACACGTAAGTGAGTGAGTGAGTGAGTGAGTATGGTTTTACGCCGCTTTTAGCAATATTCCAGCAATATCACGGCGGGGGACACCAGAAATGGGCTTCACACATTGTACCCATGTCGGGAATCGAACCCGGGTCTTCGGCGTGACGAGCTAACGCTTTAACCACTAGGCTACCCGACCGCCCCCTATACACGTAAGGTATTTGGTCAGAAGTGTATATGTACAAACACACCCCTATAGTTTCGCCGGACAAGGTTTACCTAGTGGTTTAAGGAATTGGATGTGCAGAGTTACATCTCTTAGGCGTGCAAGAAACCTAATATCATGGGTTCGAATATCGTTTCGCTCGTTTGTTCGCCATGTGTTGTAAAACCCGTCTAAGACCCGCAATGCTTTGGGCTTTCGTCCCACGTTTTATAACAGAAACACTCCGCAAAGTGGCTATACACTGTATATTCACTATACAGTGTGGCCGTTTTGTCAAGGTGAGGTGAAATTGGGTTTACATCGCGTCCAAGATTATTGCACTTTTATAGCGACGTGCATGCATGTGTGTGTGGCTGCTTGTACTAGTCCGGACTGATGCCGATTTATAGTGCTAGCCCATTGAGATATCATGCCGCAGTTTAACATGAATACCCCACTCAGACAGAGTATACTGACTCCGAGCCGACCAGTTCTTGTTTTTTAAGTCCCTTAATGGCGAACGCCAGACAGGGTAACAACAAGTACCATCTCTTAACGTCTTTTGGTATGACGCGGCCGTGGATCGAACCCCGAACCTTCCGCTCTCCGGGCGGACGCTCTACCACCAGACGACGAAGGGGGTCCGTTTTATCAAGGGGGTAAAATGCACCATATAGACTGTTTTGCCTCATGTTATACACAATCCCTAGTTAGGCATCATAACCGAATAAATCCTGGCCGGTTTTTGTATTTTTACCACGTATACGTTACGATCAGTTGCACATTAAAATCTGATTCAGCATGATAAATCGAAAACATTGTAATCACATTGACATTTTGACAAGAAACATTATGATCAGTTTGACCTGATAAACAAATGTAATATGAGCAGTTTGACCTGAGAACAGATGCAATATGAGCACTTTGACCTGATAACAGATACAATATGATCAGTTTGACCTGATAACAGATGCAATATGAGCACTTTGACCTGATAACAGATACAATATGATCAGTTTGACCTGATAACAGATACAATATGATCAGTTTGACCTGATAACAGATGCAATATGAGCAGTTTGGCCTGATAACAGATGCAATATGAGCAGTTTGACCTGATACCAGATACAATATGATCAGTTTGACCTGATAACAGATACATTATGATCAGTTTGACCTGATAACAGGTGCAGTGAGCAGTTTGACCTTATAAACATATGCATTATGACTTGTTTAACATTATTTTCAGATGCGTAACACGCATTTTGGAATTATATACAAATGCTTAACGGTAAGGTTGGTATTAGAAAGAGACGCATGAACTCAATAACTATAAATTTGGTATCATAACCAAATACCTGCGACTGTGATCAGTCGCTGTCTGAAGTACCCGTGTAACGGGAGGGTAGTGCTAGTTATCTCTCAGTGTAAATCTATCAGTGACTTGGCCTCGGTTTTTTTTTTCACAATTATTTCAGAAAAAAAATGTTCTTAAAAACTACCAGCTGTTGAAGCAAAACAAAAACATTTTTATCATAAAACTGTGTCAGTTGCGACAGTTCATGGTGGGTATTATTAAGGGGAGTCCGATCTCTGCTCACAAGGACGTGAGATTTGATGTCGCAACCAGTTTGGCATTATAAACGGGCCACATTATACTCTTAATTTACCTGTAAGTGTAAACATGACCCTTCCTGCTGCAAGAATATACATCATGATGACACGCCAGCCATCTGCCAGCCGAGAATGTTGACCTCGTAACTTTCTTGGGCTGCACACAGAGCTCATTACTCCCCATTAAACAGCTGTCGCTAATGACAAAAACGTTCAAATTGCTTTCGCGTTTTGCCAAGAAAAGTAAAACCAGCGTGCAGCGAGTGTCATTCTTCACTCAAAGAATAAAATATTTAATTTTGACATGAGCGTCGTCTATCATGTCACTATGCCCACATAGCCTGACAATCCATCCAGCGTAGAAAGTTAATGTCTAATCTTTAACTGTTTTGTACGCTTAGTTTCCAGGCACGCTGTATTACGATCCTAAAACACTCCGCCTAGGTCTACTTTACTTTCTCACGCGTATGAATTTTAATGATACAGTTCGCCACAGAACTCAACCCCGCCCGAGGTCACAGAGTGCGTACAAACTGGGTGCCGTCTCTATATCCTCGGGGCTACAACACGTGCAGCGCGCAGCCGGGCGTGGAAGGGCGACCACCGCGAGATATGTCAAATGGCAATTTACAATCGTCAGCTGTTTATCATTGCCTTATCGTGAGGAAGGAATTTCACTGTAAGTCACAGGCAAAGGTCAAATGAATACAATTCCCTGCATAACACGTAAATATAACAGTTCATATGCATTTGAACACACTGTACTTATAACATGTTAAGAACCACATTATTATAAAGGTTCATATGAAATCAAAATATTTTTTAGGAAATGATATTCCAGCTATATGGCGTCAGACTGTAAATATGCGAGTCTGGACCGGACAATCCAGTGATTGATATCAAGAGCATCGATCTACGCAATTTGGATACGATGACATGCATCAACCAAGCCAGCGAGCCTGACCACCCGATCCCGTTAGTCGCTTCCTACGACAAGCATTGTGGCTTTTTACGGCAAGCATGGGTTGCTGAAGACCTATTCTACCCCTCCTGGATCAGAGAATGGCTTCGCGTATGTTCATACATGTTTATAGTAAACAATTATTGTATTTAGGTAGGTAAAAGGTATCAAGGGCCGATGACAATAATAACAAAGACACGGACGGTGATCACTGTCATTAACATGCAGCTGAATGAAGAATTATGGTAGGAAAAAACATTTAGACATTTTCTATGAAAAATCGTAATCTGATGTATTGTAATTATTTTTACTGTTTCAGCTGTTGTTTCACAGGTTTGTAAATACCAGGACAGGACCAGTCAGAAAAACAAAATATTGTTTGTTTGTTTGCAATATTCCAGTTACATAACCAAACAATCCAGTGATTGATATCACGAGCATCGATGAGGGGTACGATATGCATCAACCAAGTCAGCGAGCCTGACCACCCCGTATACCCCGTTCACATGCGCCTCTATACATATGTGTGTATGTGTATACGTGTGTAGAAATACATACGTGAGTATACTTGTCATGTGATCGCGTTTACTCGTGTGTGTATATTTACACCAGGAGCAGATTTGCATCATGTCTGGAGCAGGTGCAAATGTAAATGTAAATTTGCACTGTGTGTATATGTTGCAAACACCAACAGTTGCATCAACAGTTGCCAACTTTTATGTGTATGTACAGAGTAGAGCGGTAGGTGTTTTCTTTTGGTTTCACGGAGTCAAAACTTTGTGTACGAATTAAATGTTTACATGTTGCTTCACGCGAAAAAATTAGGTGAAGTAACTCTCTTCTCATTCAATTGGAAAACAACCTGTTTTGTGTTGAAAGTCGTGAACAGACTGATAAATATGTGTGCCTTACACAATTTACATACTTTATTTACACACCTAAGTTGATTTTCAGTAAATTTTTAGTAAATGTACACATACACACGTATGTATAGTTACACATGTGCAAAATTACTTACGTTAGTAAATGTTGTGCATTAGACAAATTTACGACAAGTATGGGTAAGAGAAGACCAATTCGAACCCGGATCTTTAAGGGGCCACAAAACCTTGGACATTTCAATGTCAATCAACCCCTAGCTATATGTTTATTTCAATGTCAATCAACCCCTAGCAATATGTCTATTTCAATGTCAGTCAACCCCTAGCTATATGTCTATTTCAATGGCAGTCAACCCCTAGCTATATGTTTATTTCAATGTCAATCAACCCCTAGCTATATGTCTATTTCAATGTCAGTCAACCCCTAGCTATATGTCTATTTCAATGTCAGTCAACCCCTAGCTATATGTCTATTTCAATGTCAGTCAACCCCTAGCAATATGTCTATTTCAATGTCAGTCAACCCCTAGCTATATGTCTATTTCAATGTCAATCAACCCCTAGCTATATGTCTATTTCAATGTCAGTCAACCCCTAGCTATATGTCTATTTCAATGTCAGTCAACCCCTAGCTATATGTCTATTTCAATGTCAGTCAACCCCTCGCTATATGTCTATTTCAATGTCAATCAACCCCTAGCTATATGTCTATTTCAATGTCAATCAACCCCTAGCTATATGTCTATTTCAATGTCAATCAACCCCTCACCGCTGACTCGGGTAAAGTCGTGATAGGTACACCTCCTACTCGTTACTGCCCTTCATACTTGCTGTTATCTACTCGTATATGTTGTATAACGTTTCTGTGATACTTAGTCTATTTGACTCCAAATGCACAATGATAATATATAGATGTTATTGAAGGCTATCAACTAGTAGTGATTGACTACCAAGTGATATGTTCCACGGAAAGGAGACATTATTTATAATTGAAGAGAAAAATCCTTCACAGTTGCCATGGCAACGGTATATGTTAGATTGTGCATTATATTTCGTTTCTAGCAGTTATTTCTGTTTGTCGCACGTCATTCAGACTCCAGTTATACAAACAACTCAAAATAGATACTTCTCTGACGCGTCACTCTTTCTTCATTTCACTGTCGGTTTCAGTTACTGACATTTGCATCTCTGAACTCCTTCACTGCGCAGGTAAACAAACTTGTTTACAAGTAAAGAAAGACGATTGTATTTTGATAGGGGGTTATTGACATTTAATTTTAGGTGGGGGTATTGTTCGAGCAAATGTCGGCATCCATCACTGTGCCGTACGAGAGTGCCGTACAAACAGGCATGCTTACTGTGTTGGATTTATCAAAATAAATATGGTCTTTGGCCGCTTTTAGCAATATTTTAGCATAACACCGGCATGTGTTTGGAGGGGAGGGAAATCGAACCCGGATCTTTGGAGTAACGAACCAACGCCTCAGCCTCTTGTCTACTCCATTTTCAATTTATTATTATGGTGGCAGTGCTGATACATTAAGGTGGTTCTACATGTTCAGGCAACATCTTTAAGCTTAAAACACAAAGAACAAAACATTATTTATTTTATAAATGTGTCTACAGTCTATGACACCTCGTCCGTCTGGACAGCATATTTCATGTGACGTGTGTCCGGTAGGTACTCCCTGCCTTCTTGGTATACTACTCAAAGAAATTAAAGAAAACCCGATGATCTTTTTTCATACGACTATGGGTTAATCTGACAAGGCGTGACATCCACGTGACATGAAAACACCGGGTGGTCCCGAACTTCTTTTGAGTAGAATAGATACGATGCCGACTCTGAGGCTGTACTTGAACGTGGGGATTACGGGTCAGAATATGTCCACAGGACCGCGTTTGTGTCGAGAGTACACTAAAATGAGGATAGGCTGTTGGCAATGCTTCATCTGACTAACTCGTCGATCACATTCAGGCTGCCGTGATACAAACTGTCGGACAATAGAAACATATACACCCTTCTTGTTTGATTGCGGCTAAAAACGAAAAATGGTATTTCGATGGTGATGTATTTGAAACGGGTATCATAGTTGCTTTTGGGATCTTAAGTTTGCAGTGTTTCGGCGACTGTTTCAAGCCTAACGATTTGATAACGTTCATTATTTTTTGGTCAAGTGCATACTTTCTTTTGCCCGGCATTAGGTGGAATAATGCAAATGGGCAATTCACTCACTCACCAGTTTCTCCATGGGTTATTCTTACTTGATTAACTGGGTACAACACGGTGTATTGGGGTAGCCTAGTAGTTAAAGCATTCGCTCGTCACGCCGAAGGCCCGGGTTCGATTCCCCACATGGGTACAATGTGTGATGCCCATTTCTGGTGTCCCCCACCGTGATATTGCTGGAATGGTGCTAACAACGGCGTAAAACTCAACCCCTTAGATGTCTGTTCATGAAGTCTTGCTAATTACGAAATACAATACCCGGAATGATATGATTTTTACCTGTGTATCCATAGTGAAATCTACTACATTATGTCCTTAAAGCGGTATGCCCACGGTCTGAGCCACTGATTCAGTGTAGGCCTAGACATTCTGAAAAGCACCATGTGTGAAACTGAAAAAAATATCTCTGGGTATTGAGTAAATCTGTACCTACTAGGCGCATATACACCCTAAAAAAGGAGTTATGATAACAACAGTATTGAAATAACAACGTTAGGACAACTAATCTCCCCATGATGAGGCTGGCTTGGGCCACACTTGGCGGCGTTGCAAATTGATTGAAATTATTCAAAAAACGATTTGTTTGCCGATTCGATCTGTATGACGATCGTCAGTCTTGCAATTAATGATTACCCCAATTAGAACGAAATTAAGTCTCAGGTTCACATAAGCCAGTATTTAGGCCGTCCAGGCCTTAACTGGTAACAACCCTCTATAACGCTGAAACCCAAACGTCAATCTTATACCATACAACAACATTCAGATTACACAAAATACATTTATTATCACAATATTTATGATAAAAGTCAAGTGTATTAATCCGTATAAACGGACGTAAAAATCATCAGAGATAAATAACTTGCATCCGGGTATCTCGGGCTATTGCCTGGGTCGCCGTGACATTGACTATTCGGTGGCAGGTCAGAACTCTCTTCCTCGTGAGAGGGCTATTAATGTGCTTCCTCGTGGGAAAAGTCGAATCAAGTAACGCTATACACACAATCGTTATTAATCTGTAAGCAAGTTATGGGTTGCGAAGAGAGAAATGAATATATACAGCGATATTTCTGACACCAGCGGTGCACGTTAGAACAAATTTCACCACTGAACAATGCGTTCATAACCATGTCAGTCTTACACTATTGTTCAAATTCGAGTCATCACCGGAATCACAGCAACGCATGACCAGGTCATGACTCACACGAATACGTCATCAAATACGTAGACTACGTCGTAAGATACATCAACAGGTCATCACATCCAATGACTTCGTCATCAGGTTCGCAGCACTACATCATCAGTTTTGCAGTACTACATCATCTCAGGTCCGCAGCACCACGTCATCAGTTTGAAGTACTATGTAATCAGTTCCGTAGCACTACGTCATTAGTTCTGCAGCACTACGTCATCATGTTTGCATGATTACGTCATAGTATAGATAAAAATGGATCATTCAAGTAAGAACTTAACAATATGGGTATATATATACACAATGGTCCCATAGCACTTCAACGCTTTCAGTCTTAATGAGTTAATATGCACTTAAAGAAGGGTGATGCGCATGTTTAAAACAACGTTCATTTATGCACTTGTAAAGACACGTTTTATGCGTTCACGAGTTGCGTTATGCATATAGTCACCATACACACACACACACATACACATAGATCCACTCTCTTTCACCACAGTGACAATATCGAGTATTCCCGTACGGTATTTACACATTTCATAACACAGGGATTGTCCTTGGGGACGTCACAAGACCGGGAGTAGAAAGATTCTCCAGGCCACCGCTGATGTTGCTGAGTGTGACGGGGGAGAAGGGGATGTGCCCGTTGATGTAGCTGGGGAACTGGAAGGCGGTGGCGGCGCTCACACGGGGGCTGAGAGTAGCTACGGGGCTCAACGAGCTCCAGAAATGAAGAAGCTGGGGTGTCCGTGGCATGCCCATCGGACTCGTGAGGAGCAGCGGAGTGTGGAGTCCGGGGAAGGCCGACGCTAGGGACTTGGCAGACGGGCTGGTGATGGGAACTGTCGTGGCTGGGGTGAGGGTGGTGGACGCCCCCACGGGGGTCAGGCTGAGGCTGATGGGGCAGGGCTTTGGCTTACTGACAGACGAGGAGGATGAGGATGAGGAGGAGCGAGATTTCGATGTAGGAGATGAGGACGAGGAACACGAGGAGTGAGTCAGTTCCAGCTTTGGCTCCGTCAGATGTTTAACCGCAGATTCAGACTCCCTGTCCCTCTCTCGATCTCTCTCTCGTTTTTCTCTCTCCTGCAGTCGCTCATGTTCCCGATCTCTCTCCCTCTCTCGTTCTCGTTCCCTCTCTCTTTCCCTTTCACTCTGGTGAGCAGCCGGGATGCTCCACGCTGAAGCTTGAATTGCTGAGGATTTGATGTCCTGTGCATTGTAGGAGGCGAAATGAGGCATAACCCTCTGTCCATACTCATGAGCTAGAGACTCCATCTTGACTTTGAAGGGAATCTTGTTCTCTGTTTTGACGATTTCAGGGAAGGACACAAACTTGTACACAAATTTCTGACCCATGACCTTCTTGATGATGTTCTTGTCATAGTAGTACCTCAGAGCTCTGCTCAGTTTGTCATAGTTCATATTGTGTTTGTTTTTTCTCAGTCCCCACAACCTAGCCACTTCTTCTGCATTGATAAGCTTGAACTCGCCGTCGTTGTTGGTCCACTGGATGATCTGGTGGTGCTGCTGGTTGACCAGGAGCTCCAGGAGAAACTGCCACAGAGTGATGTTCGAGTCCATGGCTGAAACACAACAACAAACGATCAGTATTCTAAGATGAAATGGACAGACAAAACTAGTAGACAGAGACATTGTCACGACTATTAATACTTCTCTTGCACAGTACCTGGTCTGAAGCATACACATAGTGCTACGTACGTATTACCTATCATCATGATCATCATCATCGTCATCGACGTCGTCATAATAATAATAATGCGCTAGATTCCATACACTTTATGCTCAAAGCGCTATACATTATATTATTTCCCGATCATTAGCGTGCACTTGAATTTGATTCACAACTCTCAATACCTCATGTTTGTTGTAACAACTGATTAAAACCATGGGTGATTATATATTGTGTGACAGAGCTGATCGTGCGTAATCTTGGGCGACGCGATTATTTACTAGTTGCAATAACTGTTAGAACAATTATGAAAACGTCCCAATTAAAACTGACGTTCATTGAGTTCTGAGAAAAAAATAAACTTCATCTGGACCTGCTAACAAGGATGAACACATGAACCTTGGGATTCGAACCCGAGCAACTGCCAATAGGTGAACGCACGAGCCGCGAGACATATTCTACTCAGAGGAAATTAAGTGCCACCTGATTATTTTATGCGACAATAGTTAATCTGTCATAAATCCGGTGTGTTTTTCGCATAGATTTCTTATGAATATGGAAGGGTTTATTAACTTCTTTTGAGTAATATAAAACAATATGCCCAGGTCTGTGCACAAGAAATTGATATTTATGAGAATCAACGGTGGTGAGAAGGTTTTTGAACTCTTTAAGGCAAAGTTGCAGCCACAACATGAAATAACGGAAACACCATAACACGTAACAGTTGCCATAAATAACTCAACCTAACAACGAAAAGCAGAAAAAATATTCCATTGCCAACTGTATACAAAGGCGTGCCGTGAAATTAATAGCGTGGCATTTCGAGTGGTCACCAAGCAATAACTTTCCCTGTTCGTAATACCGTAACGAGAAACACACGGCAGATATTGACGTCTTGTAAAGTGTCAACTGTTAGTAGACGTATTTGAGATCTGGATCGGGACAAGGCCATCGCGCATATGCTGTACTTAGCGATGTAGGCTAGTTAAATTAGTAGCAGGCATGGATGTTTGATCTGTTGCTTGATAACGTGGGCTCTCCTGGTGTGATTCCGCCTGTGCCTAAATGATCAGACTGCGTGCAGTATAGCCCCGGTCTTAACATCAATATACACCTGAACGTGGCCTCACGTCCCTATCGCACACTGACCGGTGTCTATAACACTCCGCCAGTGACCCTATTTGTTTTCTGGATGAACTGTAATGCTATTATAGCCTATATTCGCTCCCAAACCTTTCGTCTGTTAACTAGGCACATAGCTGTGTCTTAATATGGTATCATTTATAAGCATATACTTTGAAGATTTCATTATCGAATCCCCGTTGAAACTTGTTGAGGTTTACGCCTGGTGACAAATGTGAAGGATATGGAAAGCCACAGCTGTGATATAAGCCGAGTTATTACTAAGTTAAGGGCGCATCGCTTAGCTTAATGCACACGCTGTGCACGATATCGCTGCTCCCGCTACACGGGGTTGTTTATTACCAGGCAAATAAGAAACAAATGTTGACCATGAAAAAAAGACGTTTTCACCGAAGTGCCACTGGTATCCATGCACAGAGGCAGATCCCAGGAATACACTCTCCCCGACTCCCAAGCCCTGTTGTGACAACCTACAGAATATGCATGGCTAGTCGTTGAAAAACTTCATGTGAAAAATCTCTAAAATATTCTTGACTTACTATTCATGATAACGCCAATTACAACAATGAAATTAAAAAATCTTCTCTCTAAAAGAATATGATCTATTGCACAGTGCAGATACGCTCAAATTTTTTTTTATCTTATCATGCCATATTATCACAATAGCATCTGTGAGGCACTAGTATTCTCAATTGTTATCGAATTTTCGCGATAAATAAGAAAATATTACTCAACATTTTGAGCGATGCCACACCAACATCAAACAGGGTCCAGCAATACAGGTTACAGATGCAGGTCTTTCATTAATCAACTGTAAGGGACCTGGCAGGTAATATGAGTGAGTGAGTATTGTTTTACGCCGCTTTTAGCACTATTCCAGCAATATAACGGCGGGGGACACCAGAAATGGGCTTCAAACATTGTACCCATGTGGGGAATCGAACCTGGGTCTTCGGCGTAACGAGCGAACGCTTCAACCACTAGGCTACCCTACCGCCCCGCATGTAATATGAGGGTCCAGCAAATCAATGAAATAGTGTAGTGTACTGCAAGTTTTAAAAATTACTTTAGAGCCTGGTATGATTCAATGATCATGTGGACAGTGGTTATGAATTGTGGATGAAATGGCAGACAACCATAACTGCTCTTGATGAGCTTCAGGTATGGCTATTATTGTGCGACCCTCGGGACGCAGTATATTCTTTTTCTCCGTCCATTCTTAACTTCTGTGCGTACTGGACGCGCATTTGTGCTTCGCGTAAAAGCGAGTCAGAAGCTGTAACAAGTGCCAAAAATAAATGTGGTTACAGGGGGGTTACATGCGTAACGGCGGTATGTGGCAGCCAGCACACAGCAACATCTGATGCGATGTTGTCTGACGTCCATGTCATTACGCATTAATCCATGAACGCCTGGTTAGCTTGGGGTTAAGCATTTGCCCCTACCTGTCTCACACCTGGTTAAAGATGTCACATTGTCGCAGTTTTAACATACCTGTAACACACCTAGAAGCCCAAGTGTGACGTGAGAGCTGATACTCCCTCCACAAGTAATGATCCATTTTCAATCTCTAGACAACCCACGAGGTGCCACGAGCAACTTTAGACATAAACTGCCAAGAAGTGAATGGCAATTTCTTATGATCCGAGAAAGATGATATCGTCCATCAATTTAACTAATTGAATCATTCGGTAATAATGATCGATCCTTCTTGAAAGAATTCTCTAATTTGAAGAGGCTCAAGTCACGTTGTCACGAGAAGTCTCTGCTTAAATGATAATCTCGAGGATTCTCGCCGAGTCCAGAGCGTTTACAATCAAGACTGACTTGCCATGTCAGATTTTTCATCCACAAGGAAACACAAAAATAATATTTATCTTTGACTCCAAAATCAAAGCCAAAAGTCTCCAGACAGTTCCAAAAGGCTGTGGCCACAAATGAAATTAATCGGCACGGCTCCCCCTTAACGGTATTACACTTAACCCAGAGTAAAATGCCAATCAGTGGCTCAGCTCGGGTATAGAAATAAGGCATTCTTAAATCTCAAACAGCCAAAAAGTCATGCTCTTCTAAAGCCGGAGTCCCCCATTTGCCCTGGTACGTGACGCGAGACCCCTGAAGCTCTCAAAATCAACACTGACGGATACATTTGGGGAAAGGTATGCTGTATTAACAATACGTCCAGCGTTGAAAAGGCAGATCGGAGATTCCGACGATATTTTCAATGGCTACAATTGTGGTATGTTTGTGTTTTGGTTTGACGAAGTTAACTCTAGATAAACGAGGGGACATGCTAACGGTCACCACTACAGGATCAATCATCTCTCCTCCCTGGAAACATTACTTCAACCCTCATTCCCAAATTACTGTCAATACTTACTTTACAGTGCTCTCGAATTCAAAACATGTCCATACAAAAAGCCATATATTATACAAATATACTCGTGTACTTTTCTTAGCAACTAATATACACTCGCAACAGACTGTCAACGAAACTGTTTTTAACAAACACCCACATTGGACTTCAAAGTTCATGTTTTCAAGTTTTGGAAGATAATTTTAGTGTTGTAATCTTTATTAGTTTAATTAAATTCGGAGCCACATGCACCGAAGGCTTATCATAGGAGGTTGGTGTGCTTTTATTTTATAATTAATAAAACCTATTTTTTGTTTTCGAAACAGCACTTAAGCTGTCGCAAATGATTTCGCCACCCACTGTGTAAAGTGTTTCATCGACTGTCAAAGCAGTTTGTTGCCCAGACTTATCGCTTCCAGTTTGGCCCGCTATCAAAAGCAAAGATTATCTCAATTTCACCCACAGACGAGATTACCGAATTCCTTCTCCCGACCTTTTTCAAGTGCACATTTTTCTTCTGACATGTTTAAGACTCTTTTTGAAAACAATGATTTTTCACATTCTTCATCAAACGATAAAAACCAAACAAATAATTGTAAACAAACAAGCATACGAAATGGCATTCATCATAAAATACTGTGCTGGGGAAAAGGCCAAATCTTTCAGCTGTCAACACAAAAACCTGTACTGTTTTATATGGCTGCCCATCTGCTTTCAATCAACCAGACTGAAAACGCCTTTCAATGAGTAATTTACTTGCAGGTCTATATTTTTTCATACAGAACCAATTATTTTGTTAATAATTAAATCATAATAATTATCATAATTATCTTATCAATTACAATCTATTATTTTCAAAATGCATTTTGATACAGAAAATGTTTCACAGCGGTGCCTGTCTTGGAAGTGAGTCACACACTTCGCCATAATGACATGAGATCCGTATGTTTACTGTTGATCATATCCGCTTATCGAGGGGGATTCTTGGAATCGCGTGGCATAACGGCACATGTGTAAGTTGTTATCGAGGGGGGACAAGGAAATAGCCGGTTTGTCGTGGTTCCCTATCGATCGTGACTTATTGGAAACGAAGGACGGGCGATTGTCAGCCGAAGCAGGAAAAACTCAACCCCAATTTCCCTTCCCATTCACATCATCATCCGCCTGTGAAAAGCGGAAAACTTTCTCATTTCCTTTCGCATCACCCAAGACTTCAAAGAGGCCCAATTCCGCAATTCACCAAGAGTTTAAAATCCGGACACGAAACATTGTGAACGAAAACATGGGTAGTGTTATCAGAAACTTATCACAGAATGTGTTGAACTCGGAGTCTGAAATTATTTTTAAAAATATTTTCATATGGAATATGATTCCCTTGATCGATCCACGCGTATACAACCATGCCTCCACAACAAAAATCAGAGTAGTTTAAAATTTCTAAAATAGGCTGATAGGAAGTTTTATCTACTATCAGAGCCCTCCGCGTATCGGGGAAGCTCCTTCGGACTAAACACTTTCGTCATCGCGTCGTCCCAGCAATGAAATATGGAGCTAGTAATATTGACACTTACCCTTTACGCTTGGCTTGTAGTTGTTCACGCACTGTGACTTAGCATGCTGACCTGTAGGATCAGTTTGTTTAGATGTTAAACCATCAGAGACCGCTGGAGATGGGGAACTTCTAGGCAACTCTGCAAATTACAAAACACAACCCGTCCATAACATACTTTCAAATTCAACAGCAGTTCCCTCCCTTAGTGAGGTCGTTGAACTAGTGTTGTGATATGTGGTAACATGAGCGTGTCTCACTCAAGCCTGGGTCATCTATCACGTTCATTTCCAGACGTTCGCTTCTCGGAGTGTCAACAACTCGCGAAGCCACTGTCTATCACGACAGAATTAAATATTACGATAATTTCAAGTATTACCACAAGCAGTAGTCCCCCCCAAATTGACATCTCAACTAGACCCAGATGCTTGTGGCCTTTCACCAAGCTAACTAGTGTATCATCTCGAATCGTTTTTCACACACGCACATTCGTTCTACATCAATCGTCCGCCTTCTAAAATTTCCACGAAATCACGATTTCAAATCTAAACAAAATGCTGAAAATATCTTGCTATACGTTACCGGGCTCAAATGATAAGACAAAGTGCACTCCTCGCCTGATATTCTCTAGAACACAAGCCGGTTCGCAATTCAGAGCGTTACAAGTTCTACACTGTTTTTTTGTCCGATTTTTGTCCTCTTTCGTTTCACGTGGTTATCAGCTTTTGGTGGCAACTGGAATCGTTGTGGATTAGCGCGAGTGACGGCGGAGAGGGTCGCGTTCTTTCGGTGGGACAGCCGCATAGCCGAAATTCCTCGCCCTGCGCTTGAGTCCGCTACTCGACACGCCAAGGGAAACTCTAAACCATGGCCGCATGGAATCCCCCTGAATCACGTAAACGATAACGAGACCCCCCTTTCCTTGTCTAGCCCGTGTTTCCAGTGGAACATGGCGACGGGACGAAGAAGACAACCCGTACAACACTGGCTACATAAGACACTCGCCATTCTGGGCTAAATACACACACCACAATGGGCATTTTCATCTGTGTAAACAAGTTCGTAGTTTGAAATAGATACTTTTAAAAGTGAACTCGGTGTAAACAGTACGGTGTGGCAGAACGATAACCTCGCGGTGTTTATGCTCGTCAAATCCATCCAAGTAAACACTATTCACTTGAAGCGGCTTAACGTGATTGATTGCATAAGCAATAAAACCAAATGCCGACACAAGAAAACTTGTAATTATTAAACAATTAATTCATAAACATTAAAACTATTTGTTTACAGGTTTATAACATCGAGAAACGGTACCAACATGGTCTAAATTTTGCAGATGTGGGGGTATTTTTTTAATAACCCAATCGCTGTAACAGCAGAGAGATAAGGTAAATTAATATTTAATACAAATAACAGCAACAATTAAGCCTTCCAAACGGGAATACAGCTTACTCGTGCATTGGAAAGCGATATTAAAGATAAAATTAAAAAATCAAAACAGTCTGACAACAATATACCGACGGGCGGGCTTAAACTGCGTGTACGGTGCACTTAATGATACGGTTTATATTTATCTGGACAGATGCTTAAATAACTCGACTCACCGCTCATGCTGAAACTGCACCAGGGGTACAGGCAGGGTAGAGGAAAACTGGGTCTCGTCACTGAAAGACAATAAATACTCTCTATGACACACGGAAACAAACACTGTTAGTGTTGCGAAAACGTAACATCAGCTTAGGTGGGATTTTCCACAAAATACTTCCCCTTTCCTCCACAAAATTGCCCGGAACTGTCAAATCCTTCCTATTGTCTGCGCCAAAACCTACCTCCGTTCCAGATATTCTTCCGGCTTGAAAATTAAAGTCTCACATTCACTTGTCGTTTGACGCCAAGCCATTCAATAATAATAATAATAATAATAATAATAATAATAATAATTATAATAACAATAACAAAAAAACAACAACAATAACTCTTTCCTTTTTCCTCAAAATATGACGACTATGGGGACTATTATTATTCTCAGTACTACTACTACTAGTGTACTAGGTGTACTAGGTGTACTACTAGTAGTAGTAGTAGCCATCCCGATCTTAAGAACCAGGTTATTAATGCTGGACTGGATGCAATTCGTACACTGTAACAGGCCATCACAACCTGCGCGACTATGAATCAATACACACCGGTTACACAAACATGTGCTATCGATGATATCCTAGCAACAAGTGATGCTGTGAGTATAGAGCTGTATACACTTATGTGTACAGATACATACGTATACACACCACTACATTGTATCCCAGTCGGCGGGATCGGATGTGACAAATGTCACTCGCACTTTGCAGGTGTACAAAGGAAGCGAAAATTGATGGATTCGTTTGCAAATTTCCGGTTGAACTTTTCAGCAAACTAGAATTATACAGAGAAAGGATGTCGGCGGTTTGAAAATATTCATCAACTTTTAAAAAAGATAACCGCGCAATTTTGATAGCTTTTGGATGTGAGTTAAAGTTGGGATATAAACATGATGAAATCGTCAGTGCAACAGTGTATTGCGATACAAATTCTTTGTGCTTCAAGATCATTACAATATACATATAAAACGCCAAGGCCAGAGATGGTGTCCTCCCATTAGTTAGACGTCCCAATAGTTAGACAGCTTAAAACAACACTTTAAACGGTTGAGTGCACACAAATCCTTTTGCCTGTTACCTCTGACTTTAAAATGGAATAGTCCAGATAAGATCTAACAAACAAAGCAAAGCAGCTTAAATAGATACTTTAATATTATACTTAACATTTAATGACACTTTACATTTGATAAATTTTATACAGTTTGGATTTGTAGATTGCTGATTGTGTATTGCTGAGGCCATGCCCATTAGTTCGGCCGTGAATATGGATTGGTTGTTTGGGAGTCGGTAAGATTGTGTGTTTTGGGTTGGTTGTGCGATGTGGACTCCGAAACCAGTGTGTTTTGAGATCGGTTCTGAGGATCGTTAATCATAATATTGAAGAGTGTTGGGCTAAGGATGCTGCCCTGGGGAGTGCCATTTTCTAGGGGACATTGGTCCGATAGCGTTTGGTCTATGCCCACGGTGATTTTGCGGTTTGTTAGGAAACTTTGGATGTAGTTAATTATTCGACCTTTAAGACCTGTTTTTTGTACTTACTTCCACGCCGCGAGGTGAAGTACTCTACTTTCCTTAAACCAGTCATATCGATACTGATAATGATACATACCCCATGATCATTTTTATTTGTTGGATAAGTAGATAATCTAAACTCAAGTCCTTCAACTGAACATACAGTAAGACCTTAGTTTACATAGTTAATCTCATGCCTATTGAACCTGTGCTGAGAGTAAGGTAATTTAGGTTAATTAAACGAAATTGTAACATATATACTCCCTATACTGTGAGTCCCCTATCCCTACTCAGTAATTTAATCTAATTAGGACTGATCCATTATACCTGTAGGTATATTCGATCTTTGCCTAAATAAAAATGTCTAACAAATGGGACGTCTAACTAATGGGATATAACCTACAACCCCAGAGATATAATTAGTCCAGATTACCTGCCCAAAACATATTCCATTGGGGGCAAAATAGCGGTGAAAAGTATATATATGGATCACTGAAAATTCACGTTTCGTTTAAATTAGTTTGGGGATATTACTTACTCCAAACGGAATGCCTCATCATTACTTTACAAGGCATCAAACTTTACCAGGCATTAACATCAGCAGAAGCCATAACATCAAAGATGAAAAAAACTCTAAGATTTTTTTGGGATATAATTCATAAAGACAACCACAGCTTTGACTAGTTAGATGTCCAAGAATTGCCCGATCATAGGTCTGTCTTTACGGTTGGTGGAGATATTTCGGATACTTCCATCGCACGCTTCATAAATCATCAAGCCGATGTGTTTTACGAAAGTGGACTCTCACATGTGCTTGAAATTTATTGCCAGTCTTTCCTTATGTGACACAACGTCCGCGTCCGAGCAGGATCGCGATATGTGTGAATCAACACACCCGACGTTTTGTCAAACTATTCTATGCTTGTGGATGCATATTATGGAGTTAACGCAACTTGGTCCCCCCCCCCCCGAGATCCTGATTGGAATTCAGCAATCCATGCTCTTGTCTCGAGAGGCGACTATGCTTGTTGTAAGAGGAGAGTAACGGGATCGGGTGGTCAGGCTCGCTGACCTGGTTGATGCATGTCATCGTATCCCAATTGCGTAGGTAGATGCTCATGATTTCAATCGCAAACAAACGAACAAGCAAGCAAACAACACCCCTCGCATCACACATACGACATCAGGCTGTAATTCAGTTTGTTTCCTTGTTTGGACACTATTTGTTCAGCAAACGGGGGCTGGGTGGGCTGAGTGGGCTGAGTGTGGATTACCATATCCAGGCTGTTTGTCACCGAAGCCCGGGTCACGTCAAACGTTCCTTATCGGGGTGAACATTCAATGGTTTACTTGCTCCAGACCGGGTTTTATTCAGCCCAACGCAGGACATCACGACACAGCCGAACGCCTGTTGACAGGTCAAAGGTTGAGTATGACGTATATCACATGTCAACCCAACCAAGAATACCGAAATCCCGTTTACAACCGCGTGCACTGCAGTACATCACAATCACAATCACTAAGCCACTCATTCACTCACTCAAACCACTCCTATGTAAAACGATTTTCCTCCTGTCTAAACAGGACATACATACAAGAATTAAAAAAAATATCTACATCAAGTTACAACTTTACACATCTGCTACGCACAACAATGAAATACACTCACTACTCAGAGTCCACTGCACACGTGGTAACAGGAGTTCCACGTGTAGTTTACGTACATCACACATAAAGTACACGGATGATTACATGTGGGTTTAACCACGGACCTAAATGTGTAGGTCCGTGGTTTAACGGACGGGAGGGGAGTCTAAGAGACCTGCACGTGCACACTGATATTTCTTCTCCTCTAAGCTCCGGGGAAACTAAAACAGGGGGTTCTCAATTTCTAACTGCCAAAGAACGGTTGGAAAAAAGATATGACCCTCATGAAGTGAACGACTTCATGCCGCGAAGAGCTGGCTTAAGACGCGTTATCAAGTGATATTTAATCATTCTTCTTTAACGTATGCTTATGTAAGCTTATCTCCTTGCGACGGGTCAGCTAGTTGGAGTTAAGTTTGACAGTTATATACTTTCGACTCGACTCTATTTCTGGCGATTAAAATGTTTACATAGAGTTGACGGGTGATTAGAAATGGTGTTACTTCTATCAATTTCGCTTCAGGTTCTAGAGAGCTTAACTTCCATATGTCAGAATAAATACACGCCTGCAATAGTATATTCCTGATTGTACTCACTGACAGCATCTACTGAATCGCTGAAGAAAACAATATTATTCACTGCGGAGTGAACATGTACTTGTGTGATATTCACGATAAGAGGAACTTACAAAAAAAACAAAGTTGTTTCATCAAAAAGAAGTGGAAAGTTGTTAATCAAAACCCGTCCTCCTAAAAACCAAAGTCGTGTATAGGCAGAGCGGTACGCCGTCACAACTTCAGCGCGCGGTGATTTGGGGCATCACTCAAACATTACTTACGTCATACGATAAGAAGTCGTGCAAACAACCGTTGTACGTACGCGCACGTCCAGTATACAGGAAAACCAGGCCATTCCTTACTCCGCCCCGCTGACAATGATTTGCGTCCGTGTCGTTGTACAGTGACAATGTTGCCTAAGTTGGGTCACCGAGATTAAACTCTGCTACGACAGGTATAAGGAATAACTCCAGTAAACAGTAAACAAGAAACATCTGCTCTTGTTTCTCAAGGCAATGTAACGGCTACAAGGTACATAGTTTAAATTCCAACAGCCCGAGATATTAAATCTGCACGACATTTTGTAAGGATAAAACGTGATTTTTATAATTACCAGGAAAGATTCCGGATGAATTAATTTATGCGGCGGCAGGTCTATCGCGCTTTCTGTGCATGTGCACTAATAGTTTCGGAATATGTGCGTGTTGGAATTTAGTTTGGGAGAAGTGGCACGCGCCAGGGGGACAACTTCTGATCATGGGGGGTAAGAAAAGACGTGCTTACTTTAATTCTAGAGTTTTTCATGAACGCTCTATTCTCGGATCGATAATTGAAAAATATAATATTCTAAATGCAGGACTTAAAGGCATGGTAGTACGTCACGTTTAGTCTCAAGATGTTTGACTGATGCGGCGTTAAACAATAATTACTCACTTACTCAAATTGTTTGAACAACAAATAGCAAAATGTGCACTCGGGAGTTGTTCCGAAACTATGAAAACAATGAATGATAAAAACAAAACAAATTTGTTCAAGAATATTACACGATAGCAATGAAAACATCAACGGTGACATGATAGCTTAATACAACACTTCACAATCAGAGACAGGGAAACAGACAGACAACCACGGGTGGTTCGAACCCTGGGCCACACAATGATAGTGCTGCCCTTCTAACGAAACCTGGGAGAAATGATGTGATACCTATCTTGCAAGTAACCTTGATCTAGTTACATCGGCTGCTGAAACACAACGTGCACCTTCATATGACTGCGACGACGAATCTAACACACGGCTCTCTCACCGTCACAT